GCCAGGCACTGGCCGGGCGGATGAGCCGCGCCGGGAGCCTGGCTGCGGCGAGCGCAGAGCTCGGACTGCGACCTCGCGCCGCCGGACCGCACTCCGCAGCCACTGGCCTGCGCTGCCGCCCAGCTACATGCGACCGTTGTGCCCGAGCGGGTAGGAAACGAAGGGGGCAGGGCAGCTTTCAAGCAACCACCCCGCCCCCCCGCGCTTTCTCACCTGCTAAGGAAACTGAGGCCGGGCGTGGGAGGAAACTACTGCACGGGAAGTGGAGGTGAAGGGGCTAAAGAACATTCACAAGTAAATAGGTTTCTTTTTTATTTTCTCCCTAGTGGGGATTAAACCCAGCCCAGCCCCGCCCCCACGCGCGCACACACTTTTTTTTTTTTTTTTGAAGTTGTGATCTTCCTGCCTCAGCCTATGAAGTACCTGGGGTTACAGGTATGTGCCACCATGCCCCGCTGGACAGGTTTCTTGATTCACCCGGTGCCAAGATCTCATGGGAGGTGGATCTTTCTCGCTGCTTGGGGGAACCCTGACCCTCACCCCACAGGCTGTCAGAGACCTGTCTGATGGCTGCTGGTGTCCCTTGGAACCAAGTGGGCGTTTTACCGCAGCTGCTGTTGCGGGGTTAAAACCCCACATTCCCAGAGAGTTAGTAGCCAAGAGGTCAGTAAAGCCCCCAGCAGATGAGGTGAGGAGACACAGGCAATCCAGGCCCAGAATCACAACATGCGACGGGAGCCAGACTGGTTCCCAGAGCAGGAGGCAGACTTCAGGCAGGCTGCCGTGCCGTGGTGGGAGACTGCACAGAGGGTGGAGGAAGTGGGGCAGAGCTTTATTTCGGCTCCCAGTTTCAGAGAGTTCAGTCCATGGTTGGGGGCACTAAAGCAGAAACACCAGGGTGGGAGGATGCGGTACAGGAAAGCTGCCCACACTGACAGCCAGGAGGCAGATCGTTCCCAAGGTCATGCCCCCATCCCGTGACCCAACTAGTACCCAGACGTGTGCTTTCCTTTAGCTTCATAGGTGTCACCCAAGCCCCTCAAGTTGACAAAGTTAACCATCACAGGAGACACCAACTTTTTTTTTAATGCTAGGGATGAAACCCAAAGCCTTGCAAGTGCTCTACCACAGAGCTACAGCTCCAACTTGTCTTCACCTCTTTCCATCAATTTCAGCTCGAATGCTTTTCCCTCAAAAGGCCTGTTATTATCACCCCCTCAAAGGAGCCCCAGTCCTACCCCAATGACTGTCTATCCCTTGACTCTATCTTGTTCCCGTAGAGAACTTGTCACCCTCTGAAGTGACCTCACTAACTTGTTGACTGTGCCCCGCTAAAGCCAGAGGCTCCAGGAAGGCAAAGACCTTGGCTGTGGACGTTCCTGTGTCCCGTGACCAGCACATCACACTTCTGTGCATATTTGCTGCATGAGTGAACAAGCCTAGGCCCGGTTTGTTTTTAAAACAAGAAGGTATCTGGAGCTGTTGTCCTGCCCCAGTCATCCTCCCGCTCCTGCCAGCCTCTCCCTCAGCCCTGCTCTAACCTGGCTCTCCAGCAGCCAGGGAGAAGCAGCCTCTGTGGAATGACAGCACTCCTAGAAAAAGCCCATCAGCCGGAGAACACTGCAGGGGGCACAGAGGGAAGGTGGATTTTCTGAGCCAGCAGCAGTCCTCTGAGCTACATCTGCCCTGGAGAAGCTCTAAGGCTGGATTGCACCCAGCTCTAACCTATGCACGTACAGCACCCAACTGAAAGAAAGCAGAGGGACATACAACCTGAAACCAAAGTCAATCTGGAATAAAAGACTCATAGATCAAGCAAGACTTAGATATAGGACTTAGTAAAATGGCCGGCCATTCCACTCAGCTGCCGGTGGATCACCCAACTGCAAGCAAGGGACTGCCATTAATGGAAGCTTAAAAGAAGAAAAGGGGGAAAAATTGATATACTAAAATAGTGTGGCTAAATGAAGCCACACAGGAGAGACTTGGGATATAAGGTCTCCTGCCTCTCTTGCCTTCCTCCAAACAGAGGACACTGCAGCCCAGCAGTAAATTCCACTGGCACACACAGGAGTGTGTGAACTGCTCGTTCCCTAATGATTGGCCAGCATTTTCTTCTTTTTCTTTCTTTTCTTCTGTTTCTTTTTGTGTACTGGAACACTAACTGGAACCTCTAGGGACAAGATTAAAGACTACAGGGGCTCAACAGCTAACCCCTCCCCTGTGACATGTAGCTAGAGAACCGTGGGAAATAAACAGCCTTGCTCTGCAAGACTGAGCAGCCTGGGGCTGTCCCCACGCCAGGGGACAGGAGCGGAACATTACCCCACAGCACCCCACCCCACCTCACCCTACAACAAGAGGTTACAGACCACAGCAGAAGCAGGTGGCAGTGGTGGGGAACCTTGCAAAGCAAGGAGTAAGAATTGGGACTGAGACAGCACCTGCAGGAGCAGAGGACCAGACCATATCACAGCATCCCCCCCCACCCTGCAACAAGTGACCTGAGAGGACAGAGACTTGCTGGTGTAAGAGAAACACAGAAGGCTCTACAAGGTCCAGGAGGAAGCCACTACACTCGGAACTGGAAGCAGCCCTCTATCTCTGTCTGAGGGCAGCACAGCAACTGAGAAAGAGAAGGAAAAACAGGATAAGGAGTAAGAGGGCCACATAGAAAGTACTGGCTGAAGAGTCTGGCCCCAGGCCCCCACATGTGGAGGCCAAGATCAGCCCCACATCCAGCACAAACTCTACTGTAGGCCCAGCAGTGTTACCCAGTAGTTTTGGGCTCTCAGTAGACATCAGAGGAATTTTGTTTTTTATTATATTTTATTTATTTTTCTTCTTTCTTTTCTGTTTGTTCCATTTTTCTTCCTTTTTTTTAAGGTCTTTTTACCTATGCTTTTGTTCTACTCTATTCATCTTCTTTCCTCCTTTCCTCAGTTATCTCTCTTGATTTAATCATATTTTCATAAAAGTAAATATTCTGTCTAATCTTTCTGATCAGTTTCAATAATCTTTTGCTTACTCCTTCATTCTTTCTCTTCTGCCCTCTTCTCTAGTTTCCCAGAGCTTACATGATCATCCTTTGTCCTCCAGCTTTGCTTCTACTATATTTCTCTTCAGTTATCTCTGTATTATCCACTGTCATTCTTAAATTTCCCAACCACAGGGGAAAATCACTCTACCAAGGGGAAATACTTTGCATACAAGCTCCCACTTTATTATGGGTTCTGTTACATAACTATAGATTTTGCTCCTATGTTTAATGTACCAAATTAATAGTTACCATAGTTTGTCAGTTTCTAAGCTATGCTTGGTGATATTGTTACTGCTAATTGTACTACTTTAGCTAGGCTGTCATATCTGTTGTAATGAGTTGTTCTCCATTCTGTAACAATACTTGGAAGCTCGGGGGTAATAACCAGAGCCCAGTACCAAAGAACTGGGGACTGAGCCAAACAGATATCAACATCATACCCTTAGTTAATTGGGGGTAGTCTTAATCGGTCTTGGGACAATACAAATCAAGAAATTCCTACACACAGAAGACATCCTTGAAGAACAGACTTTTCCTAGAGAGGCCATGATACTAGTGATAAAGCTATCTATTACAGAAACTTCCAAGAATCAACACAGAAAACAAAATAAAAATATTAAAAATAAAAAATGATAAGATGCAGAAGCAAAACGCAACCTCAGACCTTCAGCCCATCCAGAACAAGTCCAGGAGACAATGAAATAAAGGAAAATAGAAGAGATACATGAGAAATTTCTGAAATGATGCAACCAAAGTAAAGAAAAGAATCCATGAGACCATAGAGGAAATCAAATCAGAAATAGTCTCTCAGGTAAAGAAAGAAATGACAATTATAATGAAGAAAGTGCTCAGCAAATCTCAAGTAGACATAGAATTTTTTAAAAAGAGGAGCATAGGAAAATAATGGAAACCATGAATGCCCAACATAGGAAAGAAATACAATGCATGAAACAGATTCAAACAGATATCCAGGAAACTAAAAATTCCAACTTTTTTGAAAGCTTGAAAAACTGCATGAACAAAACTGAAGATAGACTTTCAGACCTTGAAGACAGGATGAAGCTAGCAATCATGAATGGAAAGATCCCTTTAAAATAATAGAGGAATCAAGAAAAAACATGAACAGTTGCAAGACAAGGCAAAGAAAAACAATATAAGATTGATTGGTGTCAATGAAAAAGCAGGAGTCAACCCAAATGACATAAAAAGACTATTTGCAGAAGTAATAGCAGACAATTTACTAAGCATGGGAAAAGAATATGACACACAGTAAGTGAGGCATATAGAATATGACACACAGTAAGTGAGGTATAGCCAAAATAAATCTACACCCAAGCATATAAAAATCAAGATCCCAGAAATTCAGCACAAAAACAAAATGTTAAAAGTTGTCAGAGAAAAGAAACAGGCCACATATAAAGGAAAACTCATCAGAATCATGGCAGACTTCTCAACACAAAACCTCAAGTCAAAAGTGAAGACCTTGGAGTGATGTATTTCAAGTCCTGAAAGAAAACAACATCCAACCAATGTTGATGTAACCTGCAAAACTATCTTTCAAAATTAATGGAGAAATAAGATGACATGACAAGACCAACTGAAGGATTTATCATAGGGTGGAAAACACAGAAGAAATAGACAGATTCCTAGATAGGTATGAATTACCAAAGTTGAATCAAGAACATACAGAAACTCTAAATAACCCAATATCAGTTAATGAAATTGAAAATAATTAAAAACCTGTCAACAAAGAAAAGCCCAGGTCCTAATGGAGTCACTGCTGAATTCTACAAGAAATTTAGAGAAGATTTAATGCCAATATTCCTCAAACTCTTACATGAAATTGAAAGGGAAGCAGTACTCCCTAACTCATTCCTGGAGGCAAGTATTCTTGTAATACTTGCAAGTAATTCTTGGGGCTGGGGATTTAGCTCAGCGGCACAGCACCTGCTTGGCAAGCGTGAGGTTGTGAGCTCGATTCCTGGTACCAGGGGCGGGGAGAGTAAAGATTCTCTAAGTAGGTATTTATGGTCTTCTGAATTTCCACAGGATCCATGGTGATTTCACCCTTTTCATTCCTAATTGCATGAGTTTTAATCTTTTCTTTCCTTTTTTTATAAGGTTGGCTAAGGATTTATCAATAGATGGTCTTTAC